GTGTGTGTGTGTGTGTGTGTGTGTGTGTGTGTGTGTGTGTGTGTGATGCCCAGAGGCTTCTAGGAAATCTTCCTGGGGCAGAGGCTTGGGGGTGTGACCAGCTTTAGATCCCTTCCTATGGGCAGGTGCATGGTGAGCTCTCCTTGGCCTAAGACCCCTGCTTCCATGGGAGACGGTTTCTGAGTTCCTTGCTGGACGGCAGTGCCCAGGCCTGAATCAAGCCAGCCCAGGCACACACAAGACTCTCTCATCACTAGAAGGTGCCGACATTTCCCACAGGCTTGGCTTCTCTGTGCCAGGCCTCTCTCCTAGACTCAGGAAACCTTGGATGGCATGCAGGGTGCTGACGCTAAGGTTCTCCTGATCAGAGCTCCGTGAACCACCCTGCCCTGGCTGCCACCCACCCATGCAGACCTGGTCTCTATCAGGGAAATTCAAGGTGACCTATTTGGAGCACTGTAGTGAGAGGAGTGTGAGAGGTGACAGCAGGCAGCCAGCACAGTGTAACAAGCCAACAGCAAAGCGGACATCTAAACGCTGTCCTACTGACTTCCTTTCTTCTTGGTGACTCTGGAGTAAGTACCCTCTGGGCAAAAGTATGGGGCGGGGGTTAGAAAATTACAGTGTGTGTGTGTGTGTGTGTGTGTGTGTGTGTGTGTGTGTGTGTGTCTGTGTGTGTCTGTGTGTGTCTGTGTGTGTGTCTGTGTGTCTGAGGACAGCTTGCAGCATAGATTCTCTCCTACTACGCTGTGGGTCTTCGGGCTCAAACTCAGGCTGTCAGCCTTGCCCACAAGCACCTTTAACCCCCTGAGTCACCTCACAGCCTCTATAGTGGCTGCTTTTATTGTTTTGTTAAAAATAATGCTCTGGCGTCAGATATTAGGGTGTAAACCCGATAGATCCACCGAGTGCTGGAGAAACAATCAGCTGACCCTCCTTCCCACCTCCCCAGATTGAAAAAGCCCCAGAATCTTTTCAAGCTCCTGCGTATTCTCCCCTGTGTCTCTCCATCCTCATCTGGATCCACAAAGCATCTCTGTGGTTTATTCTGGCCAGCTGAACATGGACTCTGCGCTCTGAATCAAGGTTGCACACCACTGACGATCTCAGAACAACCGTGTGAACAAATCTCCTGCAACACAGACCGACGTGGATTTTTGTATGGTGGGCTTACGTGTGTGTGTGTGTGTGTGTGTGTGTGTGTGTGTGTGTGTGTGTGTGTAGGCCTGAAGTCCATGTTGAGTGTCTTTCTGGATCACTCTCCATTTATTGTTTGAGCATGGGCTTTCAGTTGAACCCCAAATTCACTGGTTGGGCTGTTCTGGCTAGCCAGCTTGCCCTGGCAATCCCCTCTCAGCCTTCCAGGGGCTGGAATTACAGGCAGGTAGCCAGCCTCCCTAGTACTCAGGGGTTCTGGGGGTCTGAACTCTCATCATCATACTTGCGTGGCAAGCACCTCACCCACTGAGCAGACTTCCTACGGTTTCACTGGCTCGTTTACAGCAGAACATCTGCCTTCCCCAGCCCAGCCTCCTGCACCACTCTCCTTAGGTCCCCAGGCAAGCACGAGTCCCCTGTTCAGCAAAAAGCACCCATGTGTACACAGCACGTTCTCTTTACACCGTCGTTCTTGGTGAGCACCTTCTCTGTCTCCACAGCTCGGCCCTTGTGGACTAGGCTGCTGCAATACAACCGGGAGACATCTCCTCTAGACCCCAAGTTCCACAAATGTTCTGAAGAGAGATGGCTGGACTCGACTCCACTGAGGCATCGGAGATCGTCACATACACAGAAGCAGGGGCTGGCATGGTGGTTGCCAGGGGATGGGTCCATGGGCACAGGAGAAAGTGGGGCGTAGGGGGCAGGCGGGCCACTGCTAGATGTGTGAAACTCGAGGCTTTCGGAGATCGGGTGACAATAAGCATTGTGTCCTTAAAAGGTGTTAAGTGGGTTTTCAGCACAGTGTGTGTGTGTGTGTGTGTGTGTGTGTGTGTGTGTGTGTGAGAGAGAGAGAGAGAGAGAGAGAGAGAGAGAGAGAGGATAGCATCTCATCCCATCCCTGCGGCTGTGCCAGGGTGATGAATCTACTGCCTGACTTGGGAACAGCTGAATGGGCTGTGCCTGCTGTGCACTGTGCTGTGTGGATGGCTGTCTGCTGCGCCTGTCTTCAGGTTGTCTCCTTCTCTCTCTTTTTTTTTTTTTTGGTGGTGTGGGGGGGAGGGAAGCCTGAAGTCAATGTTTGATACCTCTCTTGATCCCTCTCCACCTTATTCATTAAGACAAGCTCTCTCACTCGAGCTCAGAATCAAAGCCCAGATGTTTAGTCAGATGAGACATTGAACTGGGGAAAAGCCACACTTTTCTTCAGCTTCTAGGAGTCGCCACCTACCCCACCCCACCCTGGCCCTGCCCTGCACTGTGCCCTCTGTGCTGTGTTCTGGCAGGCCTCTGCTTGCAGGCCCCGGCCCCCCTTGTTCCTGCAGGAAGGAGGAGGAGGAGTTGCTGTACCCTCAAGAAAAGCCCAATTTCCCTCTTCCAAGATGAGATTTTCAGGATTGCTTGGAGGGAGGAGTGGCCCACCCCTGTGCCCTCCTTCCTTGGCTAGTTCTGCTTGCATCCACAGAGAGAGAAAACTCTCACCTGCCCTGGGCCCTCACCTAAATATGATAGCACACCCTAGCGTACCTTGAGGCTGAGAGAAAACATCTGGTTCACTCAAGTACCACAGCGTTGGCCCACCCACACTGCTTCTACTTCAGTGGGCTGAGTGGACAGGGCTCTTTAACCGAGTCTTTATACACCATTTTTTACACGTTAAAGACATGCTTGGGGGTGAAGGCTAGAGTCTGTTCTTCTATGTTGTCCTGCTGTTGGATATTCGTACACCGTGTGAAAGTGTATTGCTGTGATTGGCAAAAATAAAAAGCTGGATGGCAATAGTTAGGCAGAGGTATCGGGAGGATTCCAGGGAGAGAGAGGAAGAGGGGGTGGTTCTGGTGTGCAGAGACGCCAGGAGACATGGAGAGGAAACAGGAGGTGCAAGATGGAAGAGAGGTAACGCCATGTGACAGAGCATAGGTTAATAGAGACGGGTTAATTTAAGTTCTAAGAGCTAGTGGGACAAGCCTAAGTGAAGGTCAAGCTTTCATAATTAATAATAAGTCTCCATGTTATTATTTGTGAGCTTGCGGCCCAAAGAAAAATCTGGCTACACTGTCCCAAACAGAGACACTGGATTTGAACTTAAAGAATGGAGGGCTAAGGAGGCCAGCACACTGGACTCTCTGGTCTCCCCACTGCCCCTCTGATGGCGATGACCTCCAGTGCTCCAGCACAGAGCTTTGACAAGCTCAAGATGGGGCTCATCTTCCTACCTTTGCATACTTATACTTTGTGGAGAGGGTTCTGGTAACTCGAAGGAGTGGGACCCTCCCCTCTGGTGGCATCTTGGGCAAGGCTAGAGAGGGACAAGGCTATTCATTGGTGTGACTTCTTCTTGAGTGTGTCAAGAATGGTGGACAGGGCCTGGTGACAAGTAGGGGACAGATGAACAGGGCCACAGCACAATTACCCATGAGCAGGGCTGTGGTCTATTGGAAATTAGGCTCTGACTTGGGTAACTCCAGACAGAGCCTAGATTCTTGAGACCATTTAATTCATCCAAGGATGATGAAGTCCAGTTCCTTCAGGGCCTGGGGTAAATCACTGACAACCCTATCTCCCCTGGAAATTTCTCCAGCCAAGTCCTGACCCGTAGTGGTTTCTCTGTTCTGGTCGTGGGGACCACAGCTACTCCAGATGTGCTCTGGGGTCACAGAGGATAGAGACAATCAACAAGGGGTTGCTTTGAAGTGGGTAAAGAGGGAATAAG